AACTCACAGTGCGGGCAGTGGTAGGGCTTCTCACCTGTGTGGGTCCGCATGTGTTTCTTCAGCTCTGACGGATGGCGGAAGCCTTTGGCGCACTCGACGCACACATGCGCAAAGTTCTTACTATGCACAGCCAGCAGGTGACGATTGAGTAGGCCCTGTTCCGCTGTCTCATAATCGCAATACTTGCAGTGATGCAGTTTGGGCTCCCGGTCCTTGACGATCAGCTTGTCAGATCCCAGGGGGCTGGACTCGTGGTAGCGCCGTGTGTACTCGGTGTATTCTGGAGACCGCTCACTATTGTGGCTTAGCAGTTTGTGACTCTCCAAATGGTTGTGGAAACTGACCTTCTTGTTGGTGGTAAAGTCGCAGTCTGTACACTGGTACTTCTTCTTTAGCAGATGGTCCGGGTGGTTCTTCATGTGGCATTTGAGGAAGCCTCGTGAGCGAAACTTCTTTCCACATATGTGGCAGGGGTAGACTGTCAAAGGCATACCATCTGGTCCAATGATAACGGCTGAAAAAGAAGTTCGAAAAATGTGCGTAATTTAGAATGTTGTGAACAACCTTCAATATGAAATTTTGTAACATCATATCTCATCATCTTATGGTCCATCAGTATCATATACTGATCATACCAGTCTGACACTGTCGTGTCTCTCCTTTCTTCTTTTTCTTAGCTTTGGGTTTAAGGGTACGGTTGGCGCCCAGCCCCTCGCGGATTTGAAGAAATGATGTAGCTGCACCATTTTTCACCTGATCAATGGTATTACCTGCACAGACCAGACAGTTTACATTACATTTACAACAGGATAGGTAACATTATTTTATTTTACTTTTCAAGAAGAAACCTACTAAAATCAGTTACTTTTAAAATAATTTTGCTTTTTAAACATGTTATTTAACCAAGCTGTGACATTTACTGTACAAACTGGCCATGCACAGACACAAATATCTCGTTGTTGAGTGAGTCAGCTAAAAAGAATGCTAATACATAGCAACCTCCTCTTACTGATGTACTTTCAACCGTCAGACAGTTTTGACTGTTTCTACTGATTTACAAAGACATAACCTGTGACACAACCAATGCACCAAAAGCTGTTTCACAAAGGAACATACTGATGTCATCGTCGTCATCCTCATCACTGTCATCCTCATCATCGTCTTCATCTTCTTTAGGGTGGTTCTTGACTGCCATATAGACCATCTTGTCACGGCCAACTCCCAGTCTGCCTGATGATGCAGCCTCCAGGTCAGGATGGCCATTCTGGTAATCATCCTCTGTTATTACCTCTGTTCCACCTGGAAATCCAAAAAATTCAACAACTTTGTTCAAGCCATGCTCTATATTCACTTGAACAGGAAAAAATCTAGAGGTAATTTCTTATATTGTAGAAGTTATGTATTGCCAGCAGACTGAGAAATTTGTGAATTTAAAAGTCACTTGCCTAAATCGTCATCTGCTTCAGCTTTAAAAATGTAGACTTTGATGACCTCAGAGCCATCCTCCTCTTTGGATTCCTTATCTTCCATTACCTCAGTGCTGATCTCAAGGGGGGTGTCTCCTATGTCCAACTTCTCTCCCACCTCATCCACTGCAGTAAGACAAATATACAAATGTCCAGTTATCCAAAATTGTATAATATCAATAACAAGAACAGTGTTAATGTATTATTAATGTAAGTTGTGTTATCATATGGCAAACTGTCTTACAGGAGATCATGAGGTAATCCTCAGAGCTGCTTCTTGCGTCATCATCCTCGTCTGTCTGCAGGGGAACAGCCTCAGTTGGCAGCTGTTCGTGGATTATGGTCTCTGAGCCTGCCTCTGTCACCATCAAGCCTTCTGACACAAGCTGGTGGTCCAGGGTGTTGTCCTGGTGCTCAGAGAGTAGCTCTGCCACAAATACCTGGTCTGGCATGTCATCATGGTGGTGGTTTGAGTCCTGGATGAGGTCTGAGGTAAGAACATGGTGGTGGTGGGGGTCCAGAGCTTCCTCTATTGCAACTTCTGTCCCAAGGATATTCTCAGGCATGATTACACTGTGCTCTGAGGGCACCATGTCTTCACTGGTCATTTCATGGGCCTCGACCCCTTGAGACTGCAGACTTTCCACATCTACCTCCAGACCTTCAACAACCTCAGCTTCTAAACCCTCTACTTCCACCTCCTCCTCAAGGCCCTCAACAACATGAGCTTCTAAGCCCTCAACATCTACCTCAGTTTCCAGGCCCTCTACCACTTGTGCCTCAAGACCCTCCACTTCCACCTCCCCCTCTAGGCCCTCTACAACCTGAGCCTCAAGCTCTACAACCTGTGTCTGCAGGCCTTCAACCACTTCTGCATCCAAGCCCTCTACATCTGCATGTAAGCTCTCCACCACTTCAGTCTCTAGCCCTTCAACCACCTCTGTCTCCAGGCCTTGAACCACCTGAGTCTCCAGGCCTTCCACCACCTGAGTTTCCAGGCCTTCCACCTCAAGCCCATGCTCCAAGAGGATGCCCTCATCTGTCATCACATCAGAAAGAAGCATACCCTCGGGCACAGACACCACAATGTGCTCCCCGTCAATGTGAGCCAGACCTCCCATGCCTGCAACTGTAAAAACAAAAAACAGAGCGGAGTTTCAAACAACAAAATGATCATTATAACAAGAGTCCACAGGTTTTTTCACATTCACGATGACTGACCTTGTAATGTTACTGTGACTTTACTATTTATCTAGGTAATTAAATAACATTTGCACTGTCAGCTTCATAGGCGTGGCCCAATAAAGTCAATAAGAAAATGTATGGATAGGGTCTCTAATAACTGTGTCTTGGTCTGAGTTCATTTCTGAGAGCTTTCAGCTTTCAGCTTTATCTGTGCTAGTGGGAATATTTGTCCCGAATTACATGTTGCGTGTTAAAATTAAGGATTGTTTACAATATAAAGTATGTCACCTTGTCCTACTTGACCACCTACCAAAGTCTTGCATGATCATAGCGTGGGGCATCTTTAGCTCCTGAGTGTGTAGCTCCAACACCCCTCCTCCTTGATCCATGTCTTTACTCAGAAAAAAGACTGAAAATTACAGTGTACACTGCGTTAGAAGTTTTCTTTCATTTTGTTACTTTCTTTTTTTTCTTTTGTTTGTGTGAATTTCTAAAAATGAGAGTGTATGAAACTGACAATGTTATATTGCCTCATATTCAATACATACCTTTACATTTGACAACAAAACCCTTAGAATAAAACCAATGGGATATCTGACGTGCTTCCTTCCATCAATATAATCAGTCCCCCTGATAAAGAAACATAAGAAACAATTGGTATTCATTAACATTATGTTGATAATAGAGGAGAACAGAACGAGGTAATTAGTTCATTCACTTAGTCTAAGTGTTGTAATTATATTTAATAACTAACTTTGTACATGGGTTCAGGTTTAAAATAAGGACACTGGTGGCATCACAAATGGCCTCTGCAAATGAAATACAGAAGGCAGAAAAACTTTATTTGCTACCACTGAGGAGGGGGCAGTTATGTTGTTGACCACTGGCACCATCCATTGCCTAGTAAGAGTACTACAGGCAGGTTCAACCTGAAGACATATAGCTATACACCTGGGGCTGGTTGAGCCTGATGGCTGTAGCCCAGCTGAGACAAAGGGCTGTCCCGCTCAGTGTGCATGGGGACGAGCTCATAGGCAGCGTCTCTGGTGGCTCTTAGAAGATAAGTCCTGCTTGTTTTAGTTGGAGGAAATGTACTGTCGTCACATGACGGTTCAAAAAAGCCAAATATGTGATGTCTGCAGTGGTCTGTAGTAACGTTATGGGCACCTGATTTCCACAGATACATCATACTGGGATAAACTAAAAACTAATACTGTGATGCTACACTTCTTGTTGTGAAAAGTCTTGTATTCCGGACTCTTAGCACAAAACTACACATGCTCCGAGTTTATGGCCGCCAATGAAAATACCGCAGACGTTATGCAATGCATAGTAGGGCGGCTACCGCCCTCCACCCACAGAAGCTAACTAGCAAGCAAGCTAGGGCTGTTCCTCTAAGCGCCATTTTGTTTTAGCATAATGGCTAGTTCAAGGGAGACAATAACCCATATTATTTGACCATTTCAGTAATAAATACACGAAACGTTACAATACTAATAAAGCCATTAGCACAGGCAACAGATTGAAATGCCTTATTATAATATTTTCTGGCATGTCGCTCATATCTGCGCGACGACGGCCGTCCGTTTGGCTAGCTAGCTTGCTAAGCTAGGTGGCGCAGCTTGTGCCGCATTATCTTCCATGTTGTTTTTCGAAAAGGCTGAAAGAGGCCCGCTACGGCCGACTGGGCCCTTGCGTCTTATTCCACATACCTTTCTAATCGATTCAAAATAATTTTACCTGATAACGTCGTCTTCTGACTCTATCGGCGTTTCTCCCCCTTCTCAGTTTTGTCTGTTATTGTTTTGGTTTATTTTTGACGGTAAGCTAAGTGCGGCCTGCAGTTTTGGATCCCCGGGCACTCTTTGCTAGGCCTCGGCCAATCAGCTTGCTTCCTGACAAGCAGAGGGAGGGCGGGGGGCAGACAATGCGTGGCCTCGTTTACCGCTGATCCCTTACTATTTGCGTCATGCATAAGAGAGCAGAGTTACATTAACGCAGTCATTCTCTTAATAGGGACATATTTATGCTCTGCTCGTAGACACAATGCTGAGACGTTATCACACAGAGAAATAAAAAAAAATATTGTCATTGCAGACTGTGCGCACAGACTTTGTATGCGTAGATGAGGCCTGTAGGCCATTTTGTCACAAGGGGTGGGTAGCGTCGAGCACTCGTTTGTGGAGCGTTTGGTCATGCACCCAGGAAATATCCGGCTGATGATAACGGTAGTGCCGCTGCTGCTGCTGCCTGTGCTGCGGATGGTCTGCAGAGTGTGTGACCAATTAGCATATGATGCAAACAGACCCCGGCTTGGCATGCATGGATTAAAAATAACCAGGGATACAATTCAGTTCAGGGTAGACTTTATTATTCTTTTTAATTACAGCTCCTAATTTTCAGAGGCACTCTGCATGAGGGTGCATAGCTGTCTAAGGCACACGGCCTTCGTGCATAAACATTTTCTTTATTACAGTGGTATCCAAAAGCAGACACTATAGTACACCTCTAGATATGCAGTAAAAATGCCTGGAAAATGCAGTACGTTAACAGTACCCTTAATGACTTCAGATTACTTCTGGAATTAGAAAGTGTTGCAGCTGAAATGCACCTTGGCACAAACCATATTTTTCCTTTTTTTATATTATTCATAAGGGCAGTGTGGTTTACAGGAGTTGCATTGCTGTGTAAGCAGAGAGCAAAACACAAATACAACACAAACCTAAGATAATTTCACTATGAACCACTCAAACATTCAAAAATTCACACAGATCATTATGGGACACATGGAAGATCTGTCATATTGCAGTTACATAATGATGCAAAGGCTGAAGGAATAAGGAAAAACAAAACCGAGCATGCAACACTCAGCACCTTCATCTAGTAGGAATTCACACAGAAAATTAACAAACCAGCAATATCTTCATTTAAATGGTCTTCATATCAATTACATCAACAGAACAGTAATTACAACCCTTTATATTCCAGCAGTTTCTCACGATTACCATAGAAAAATAAGTAAAATTGACACAAACAAATCTTCTGGAAGCTCGGAGTTGGTCCATATAACAAGTGGAGTGTGCATGTGTGCCTTCTTTGTCTGCCTACACATCGTCTCTGTGTGTGTTGACAATGTGTCATGCTAGAGAGAGAGATGAGTCTTAACTACAAATCCAGTGCAACCCAGCGCTCCAGTCTTAAATGGGGGAGGTTGTACGACACATTTGTGGACACAGTGGCTGTGTTTTTTGTACTCTGAGAGGTAATGGGGAGAGGTCAGGTGAGGGTTGCAGCAGTGAACATCCTTCATCACCGGCAAGACTCAGTAACAGCCATCTTTCCAGGATTCATCTGAGATTTTAGTCATGCCCAAAGACCTATTTAATAAAAGAGGAAGTTAGTGTAATTCTTGCATAAAGTCAAGTATCAGACTATAAAGATTTGAGTAGCTTAAAACAAATTTTACATATTAACAGCTTAATAGCTCTCTGTTTAAACACTCACCTCCTGGGGGGCTGTGAAAGTTTACTCCTGGTGGAAGCTGATGACACAGCCTGTCCTCGGCCCACAGCAGGCCTCCCTGCCCCAGCTGAGGCTCTTCCAGGTATGTAGGCTCCACCATTGGCAGAGCCTGGGGACTGGACCCTGCGCCCCCCTCCTGCAGGTGGTCCTTGGATGACAGGCAGCCCTCTTGAAGGCTGACGACCAGCTGCCATGGAGCCCACTGGAGTGACAGCTTTAACAGGAGTCCGCAGGGAGAGTGGAGACTGGCCGTTGCTACGCAGCCGACTACAAGCCATACCTTGAGTTGGAAGAAGGTCACAGCAATATAACAGAATCTCAATCTAGATGGTTTCTTTAAGGCAACTTGGGAAATAAAATAAATATTAATACATACAACATTTAATATGCTAGAGTTGAAATCCAAACCCCATTTGTGACATGTACAGAGTTGGAGGCAGGCCTGGGAGGACCAGTGTTGGATTATAAAGGATAAGTTTGGAGCAAAGTAGTGAAATAATCAAGTAGCAGGTGACAAAAAGGGTTATGGGGTGAGGAGAGTTACCTGTACATAACCTGGGGTATGTCAGGGAAGATAAGTATCAGGGAGGTAGTAGGGCAAAATGTGGGGTGCTTTGTGGAACAAGTAGGTGTGATCCATATATAGTGTGAGTTAGTTGTAGACTTACATTTATTTAAATAATATTCTATTAAAAAGAAATGACTCTTTTTAACATTTTCTTAACTTTTTCTTGTAAACAAACAATATTTCTGTTTATTCAGTGTTATTCATCAGAACTCACTGTGCGTATTCTTAAGGTCTAACAAACATGTTGAAAACATTTCCTTCCTGATAAAACATTCACTTATAAAGCTTTTTCTGAACATTTTGAAACCTGCATTGTTTACATCCTTCTTTGTTCTCTAACAGTGTTCTTCTACACTGCCTTTGATGGTGCATTGCTATGTTTCTTGGTGCATTGCTGACATCTGTCTCTCTGTAGAATATTATAAAAGCACTGCCAAGAATGTGTATTATGTCACCCACGTGTGCGTCTTTGTGTGTGTGCACGATATAGGCAAATCGTGACCAACTCATTAAAAACTGCTCCATAGCACTACTATATTCCATGTGGTACCTCTTTAAGATATTATTCCCGTGTATCAGTCACACCCTACCTGTGGTCATGCAGAGGATAAAAGGAGGTCAAGTGGTAGGATAAAAGTGACATTATATAGAGGACTATGTGCAAGACAAATGCGGGTACCATTATAGCAGAGGAGTGGTGTGGCACAGGTGAGGAAGGCAGGGTTACCTGTGGAGGGGGAGTGAGTCAGGTGGGACATGCGGTTGCCAGAGCTCTGGAGGTTAGCCTCCATGCTGCGGCTGTTTCTGACTGCCTCCAGTGAACGTAGGCTGGTGCGTGGGGCCAGATTAGGCATGCTGTGCCTCAACTCCTCTGGAACCATACATACGTAACACATTTAACAACAGAATACATATCATCACAGCTTTGGTACAACATTAATCTCTGTGAATATCACTCAGATTTTCCTAACCTTGTGTATAAATGCTGATTTATTACTGGTTATAGCCTACCTTCACTCTTGGCAAATTTAAGCAGCTCGGCACTAGGGCCCTGGAGAGATCGTCTGGGTGTTCTTGTGCGCGGGGCCCCGAGTCGGCTGCTGTATTCCTGACCGTGGTTGGAGATAGAGGGAGACAGGCACCGAGGTGAGCCTAAGGGCGAGGGGGTGAAGCGATGTCGTCGCTGGGGCATGGAGCAGAACTCGTCCTCTTCATCTTCCAGGCTGTAACTGTCAAATTCCTGGTCGCTGTAGGTGCCACCCCGGCGCAGAGACTGCAGAGATGCTGTGGAGCTGCGACGTGATGCAGATGCTGAGCTGGAAGCATAATCCTGCCTTAGACCTGACAGCAAAAATATAAAGTTAAAAAAAGGAAACCGCTTATACCGGGAACCATGCAAACACACAGATTCATGCTCATATAAAAAAATCACAGAAAAAAAAGTGTCAAATTATCTATCTGACTTACTGAGGTGTACAAAAAGGTTTGCACTTAGGCTAACTAACTATGCTAGTTTAGTCTCCTACATCATCAGTGGTTATTTACAGTGCTCCACGCTCTAGAGTTTGGAAACACAATTAGAGAAGACGTCCAGCACACCATGTGACATCTCCACTCACTCTCTTCCTGTAGGCGAGCCATGATCTGGACATCAGTGAGATCCTGCAGCTTGTAGCCCATAGAGATGGAGTCATCTGATGTGCTGACCTCACTGTCTATAGAGGACTGAGAGCTCAGGGCTGAGTTCATGCTTGTGACACCTGTAAACACAGTGGGATACCTGTTACAACGAGCTGCTTCTCACACATCTATGACAGCAACACTGACCACACTTTCTGCAACTTATGTCCACCTCTGTTGGTAAGAAAGACATTTACCTTAAATTCTAAAATAAAAGCTGATACTGAAATAATGCCAGTGAGGTTTGTTTGAACAAATACAGGTCAGGGGAAAAAATGACCAGGATTTGTATTATGATGGTTGTTTGTCGTTCCAGTATGAAGGGAACAATTACACTGCACCATCATAATCATTCAAAAGAGTGACATTGTTTTGCTTGACTGTGTATAATGACAGGTGAAACTGGATATTAGGCTAGATAAAGTGCTGTCTTGAGTAATCTGCCCCTTTCACAGCACAAAATGAGTGATGAATGAATGTGATTGTTACTAAATTGATCACAAAAGATTAGATGCCACTGGGATCTGTCACACTCTGCTCAGCAGATGAAAGGGATTGATTGATCAGGCTTATACAATTGTATGATTGCCTCAAGGTAATTAAGAGTAGCTCATCACAATGTTGATTTTTTTTAAAGTTGGGAAACATTGAAGCATAGCTGCTCCATCATTCAAAATCAGCTAGAGGTATGTGAGGGATAACTCACCCCAGCTCAGCTAACACACATGCAGTGCTGCCTGTATTATGGCAAATTTAGATGTAAGTTTAACGTTCACCAGGTGGATATATATTTTACATAAGGCATTAGACAGACCAACCAATATTTCAGAATTTAACATATGAATGTGAACAACATCTCTGTTTAACAATCACATTTGGTGTGTTTAAATTAGCATCTCTCTCCACCCCAGCTTCACTCCAGCCATGTCCAGCAGCATTAGTCTAGAAAGGACTGTCTGCTGCTGTTGCTGCTGCTGCTGCTGATGGCCAGAAAAGCTATATGCAAAGTTCTCCTGCCAGGCGTGTCTGTCTGACACAGGCCCAAAACGCAGACTGAGACAAACAGGAAATGACAACATCATCCAGAGGCATTTGGTTATGTAAAAAGTCTGGGATTAGATAGGGTCACCGCCAACAAGGCAAGCATTTACAAATTCATGCAAAGATTTGTTATTTACAGAGTTTTCGAAACAACATCAGCATTGTTGGTCTTTGCACAGTGAAGTGTCATGGTTTGAGAGACAATGTGAGGAATAAGTGCAGAGTAACAGTAACAATCGCCACAACAAAGTCAAGACCATCAACATTATTATACAATATATTTCAAACAGGTTAGCATTGCCAAAGACCTTCAATATATCATATGTTCCTTCCCTGAAGTATAAACCACATATACTTCACATAACTGCTGACCATCTTCCAAAGTATCTGCCAGGTACACACAGTTTTCCATTCATTTCAATACAACATGAAGACCAATTCAAGAGAAGTTAACATGCCTGAGACAAAGAATTCATAACAGTGTCTTTTGTATTTCAAAATAACTCGTGATTGTTGTGCATTGATGTAGTTGAAAGCTTGGAAGCATGGGAAAGATCTGTTTGTTATGCATTCATGTAGGTGGCAGAAATTGCAACATCTACCACTTAAAGGTTGACTAACAGCAACCTTTGTAATGCAACAAGCTGCCAAATACACATTTTCCTTTTCAGGGCATCACTTATTGTCTGTTGACTCCCTCCCAAATTCACTGCTGTTCAACAGACATTAATTTAGTCTGGGACGAATGACACCTTGCATAATGGTCTTTGTCATAAACATAACATTTTTTGTTGATTGCAATACAGTAATCAAATGAATGGTAAACAATGGCTTCTAGGTAGAAGTAAAAAAAAAAAATCAATCTCGAAAACCTGTGTTTTGGAAAATGGTTAGTAGTAATGTACAGAGTATGTGATATACATTTAACTGGGTAAAACATGCAAAAATGCCACAAATTCTACCACCCAGATCCCTGAGAGAGCACACCATCGACACATTAGTGCACACACACATATCAACTGAAACTATATCCTTACAATAACTGATGTCAATCCCATTGCTGTGTTGAGCAGAAAATAAGGAGCAAAGTGTGTTAATGTCATGCCATACCTGAGCTGCCACAAGTTAGTAGGGATTTGTTAGTTGATTTGTGGTACCCAGGAGAGATCAGGCCTGAGCCTGCCGAGCCTGCCTCTGCTGATGGACTGCTGTACATGTTCCTCCATCGAGATGCTGCAGGGGACAGGAGAGGAGAGGCGAGATACTCTCAGAGAATAATATACGCAGTTTAAAAGGACGACACAAAGAGAGAGATGTGAAGTAAAGCCAAGTAAAACACTTGGCTTTACTTCACACTAATTTCACTTCACACAACAGCTTTGAGAAACCATCGATACATTTGCATGCATACTGTAGATAACAAATAAATAGGATTCAGTTTAGACAATATGTTTTTTAACCTTGTTTTATACATGTTTACCGGTAACCCTATAGTTTCTGAAGTCAGGCTAAATCCTACTCTACACCTGGCAGTTTCATGGCTGGGTGCTGCTGTTTAAAAAGAATAGGTAACCCAGGGGGGAAGGTAATTTAACCCAGCCAATGACTTCATGTAGTCATTCAGCCCTGGTGTGAATAACTTTGTTGTTCAGGTTTTGCAGTGCACAGGAAGTAGGAGCTGCGAACAGGATAAATAATGAATGAGTCCGTTGGATCAGACACAAACTTCTGTCCACACGTAAAGACATACACACCATGTACACATTGACTGTGAGTACTCAAGCATTGTCATATGACTGAAACCCACACAGACGCATGCACATGCACAGTGGAGCTGAACAGTAAATAAGAATGCAGCACAGTCACAGAAGGGGGTAAGACTGTCTCCCTGGACTGAATTAGGTGCCTTAAGCTTGATTTAGGCCAAGCTTCTCTAAGGGAGTGACTCAAAGATCTTAAGATACAAAAGTTTGTTCATTTATTAAAAAATACTGTATTTGTGGTGGACTGAAAGATAGTTCATCTAAAGGTGTGTAAAGTAAATAATTTAAAACACGCTTCGGTAGGTGCTTTGGTTCAGGCATTTCAAACAGTGTATTTATATGTTTGTTAAATGCATACTCTGGTCCAAACGGCTGATCAAGGTCCGACAAGCCATTTCTGTCTCTGGGCTGCGGTGGTCAAGAACCTGCCGACACCATTTCAACGGAGACTCTGGGCCTGGATCTGCTACTTGCTTTTTAGGTGACACATACAACCTGAAGAGGCAGACAAGAAGAAAACTCATTATTACAAAGGGAAATTAGAGCAACGATAAGGGGTAAAGGGACTGGGAGAAATACAGAGAGGGGAAAACTGTTGTACGGAAAAGGCTGAAGAAGTAAGCCTAATCTACTTTTTATTAAACATGCTTGTCAAGGTGTTTGCCAGTAAGTGCAGAGCAAACGATTTGAATAAGAACAAGCTAGAGATTAGTGTGAACCACTGGAGTGCAAAGTATGCACCTAATAGTATTGAACATGCCGTCTACAGTAGAAATGTTCTTCCCAATGTGTGACACAGATTTGACTGAGCACAGGCAGGAACTAACGCCCAATGACTGAATGTTTTTCTGGCAAAGGAACACCATGGCACTGCAAAGATCCCACATCAAACAACCAACCAGGCTCTTCTGTTTAAAGTAAATGATGTGATCAGACCAAACAATAAGTGAGCAGATACTCTAGATAAGTAATGCATCTTAAAACATCCTTATCACAGCCTCAACCTGGTCCAATGCTCAATCTATATTTGCCTCAGCAGGCCATATTTACTACATCCAGGTGGACAAATTTAAAAGTGCTTTTTGTGTGTGAAAATTTCTTGTCCCATGTCCAAAGACAGACTAAATGGGGGGAGTTTTAAATTTAGTGGCGTACTAGGGATAGAGACAGATGACCCAGTGCATTACATTCAACTGCAAGAAAATTCTTCAGCCACATCTATGCAGGACCAGCGTGCCAGCCAACTGAAATCAACGCTTGACTTGGTGTTTTCGATGCTTCCTCTGCAACTTGTCCAGTGTTGCCCTAGTGAGGGCAAACAGCCGTTAGTTCACCACAAGCTTTGAACTGGCAACCACATGGGCAGATCCTTTGAGTTAGATACACAAAAGGCCTGGACTGACTGGTTCTGGACCAATCAACTACAAATCATCTTCCCATTGGACAAACACAAAAGGACCCATTTCCCACTGGAATGAGCAACAATACAGAGAGCAATATTCAGGTCACACAACCTGCCAGAGAGCACAGCTCCTCTCGTGTGGGGGAGCAGGAGCTGCTTCCTTCAAACACAAACCCGTGTTTGAAGTGGAATAATAACGCACGTCCTGCCTGCCTGTGTTTGATCCATTCAAGACAGAGTTTTGGTCACAGGTTGGCACCTGGTTGCTGCCATCCACACGAAACATGGCTTTTCGACTGTAGTTCCAAAAACATTACTGCTACACCATAAAATTATACAAGATCTTGTAGAAACGTATGCAATAAAGGGGTTGTAATAATACTAGAAATAGTAAAATAAATCTATAACAACTTTATATCAACCCTATGACTATTAAAATAATCTGTCCTCATTGTTTCACTGTAAAGCTGAGCAGCGTCAAATCTATGTTCAGCTGGGACCAGCATCACAGAGCCAGGTTTGATAACTTTCCTTGACTGTGTCAGTGTGAAAACAAGATAGACATTTGCAAGGCAATTTTGATTTGACTTGGTAGGTTTGAAACATTGTCTGGGGTTCAGTGTGAGAATACTGTCTGTTTTTTTCTGATCTTAGATTTTCTGATATTAGGAGGCTAATTATGCTCTTGTACAATCTTGATTCTACAAATCAAAAACCTATAATGAGAAGTCCCGCAGTTGCTGCCAGTGTTTTAGTGCCTGCCACGGTCTGGTCACACAGGGAGGCCCTCAGATCACATGCTGTGCAATCCCACCCAAAGCAGTTTAGCCATGCGGCAGCATCCAGCCCAGAGCAGATCAGATTATGTCGCCGTTTGGATTATTGGATGTTTTGGCTATGATAACCTCACAAAGCACATATGGTATGGCTAATGATGTGAAACTGAAAAACAAGCCATGAATGGTCAGGCTGTTAAGCTTCATGGCTGAGCTGCTAAAGTAGCCACTGGGAACACAATATGGTACCTGTTTTAGGCAACATGCACAGCATAAACAAACACATAGTGATCGCTGGCATAAAATTAGCAAGGATTATTTATAATTAACCTTCTATTATGGCTCGTTTTAGGTAATTATATTCTGCTGATTAAACTGGAGGAAATGAGCAAAGTTCATCTGGTTTCAAAACAACACTGGCTTTTTACAAGCTTCAACCTGACCTGCATTGAGGAATGAGCTAATACAGATATTGCTTTGTTGATCTTTAGCACATTGTGTAACAAGGCTTAGCATATGCTGAGCTATGTCAGGTCAAGTAAATAATAATCATAATAATTATTAATTATATTATTATTATTGTTTTCTGAAACTTGTTTTCTCCAGCACAACCGAACACTTCTGGTGCAACATTCTTATTCATTCTTGGCTATGAATAAAAAAGTCCCTCCGTTGTTTTCATCATAACCTGCCAAACAGGCAGCAGATAGGTCATGCCTTTCGTCTACCTAAGCCAGACAGCCAAGAGTCAAATTTAAGAGAGAAGAAGCTGCAGCTTCTCACTCTTGTATTCACATGTCAACTGCTTCTGAAATTAATCACACAGCCTGCCGTTCCTTCTACCGCCTCCACATCACCTCAGTCTCTCTCCTCCTTCAATTACTTGTTTCTGTGGATAAGAAAAAAAATGCTGTTTCTGTGTCAGCCCAGAGTTATGTCTCATTTTAATTGCAAATAGCCTAATGCTTCAGTATATAGTCAATGCCCTGTGGGGGCCTGATGCTGTTTAAAATTATAAGTTAAAATGAAAAAGTATACATGACTCATCTGGTTGAGGGGGCTCCCCTACCTATACACTGGTGAACAGGCAACTTTAAATATGGCATCCATGTAACCTGCATCAACAGAAATCAACTTCCACTGAAGTTAGCATTACTGGCTGTATATCACATTTGAAAGCATGCTGCTCAAACCGGATGCAATTGAACTATGTGTTGGGTAACACAAACATAAAAGAGATACACAGTACAGCTGATGAAACATACCAGCTGTCCTCGTCCTCTACTTCTGCACACTCATCCTCCAAATCTAGGACATCCACCTCATCCAGTGCAGTTTGGTCCACCCCTGAGTCGCTCTCTGCAAGTGTTTCTGACTCATAACTTTCCTGAGAGGGGCTCTCTGGTGTCTCGATTTGCCCCTGGGTCTCTCCCACTCCATTGCTGCAGGTCAAGGTGAGAAAGCCCCCACATGGACCCCGATCCTCCTCTTCCTCTTCATCTTCTTCCTCCAGCCTGTTGGTTACAGGTAGAGGGGACATCTCTTCGCTGCTGCTGCTGTCCTGTGGGGGTGACAGTTCAAAGTCTGTGCTACCCAGCTCACCACCGTGCTCCAACCTGAGACGGGAATTGGTCACCCCTTCACAAGTCAGCCTCTCATTGATATTAGCAGCGGCTGTGAGGTTACTGTTGCTGCTGGCACCTCTGTGGATGATAGTCTTGCTCCCCCTGTTGCGCAGGGTCTCATTCTGGACCTCCAGCCTACGAACAAGCTCCTGCAGCTTTCGGACCTCCTCCAGCTCCACCCCTGCCAGGTCTTGACCCCCCTCCTCTTCCTCCTCGCACCCGGACTTGGGGCTCTCCGTGAGGCCAGTGGGACTGCCATTGTCAGGCTGGGGGACCACGCTGGCACTGTCCGGGACCACCATGCTCCTACTCTGTTAGCAAAGAGAGCAAAATTAACATGATGACAATAAAGAACAGCTGGAAACAACACAAACCGTACTGGTTCAAGCTTGATTTGACCCCTTATCAATGGTGTGTTGAATGGCTACTCACTGGGCACTGGCCAGCGATACAACAGCAACTCAATACTGATGAAACCAAGCATAGAGGTTAAGATTTTTTAGCTACTTCAATCACATGCAAAGTTTTTAGTCGTAGTCACACAATTAGCTCTAGTATTGAGGCGACACTGGCGCGTTAACAAGTCAGTTTCAGCTAACAATCACTAGTATTTACATGACGCCGATCACTTTTATCTCGTCGTTACGTTGCTAACTCTGTAACTGTAATAACCGTGTAAAGAAGCTAGCTACATGAGGATGCTCTACACCACTAAATGTTCCCCTAAGCAGCAAAACTGCAACAGCTATATTGTAATATATCAAGCCATACGTGTATGTTTGAATACTCTCGCTAATCTTAGCTCAGCTAGCATGCTACCAGCAAAACAGTCGTACCGGTGAGTGAGCCGTGTTGTCCCAGTTGTCCCAGCGAGCTGCTGATGACTGAGCCTGCCCGCCACTTGGAGCTCAAACCCCCCTGTGCACCAGCGACCGCATGAATGAAGCAGCTAATTACGACCACCTGAAATGGTCCACAGCTTGATAATGATTGTCAAGACACCGGGATAACTCTCGGTTAGCTAGTCCATACTTTCTTGTTGCTACTGCACCGCCGACAGCGTTCATCACATCGCTCACTGCTAACTAGCTTGTTAGCGCACTGAGTTCAGATAGCCCACTGAACAGACCTGCAGCAGCGCTCGCCCCTCCCCCTACAGGATTTCACGGGTTCTTGGTGCCCTCTATGGACGAGATGTGATACTGCAATTATATATTTATGTATTCTTTATTGTAGCCATTGGGAGTCGCTGTTTACATAATGGTGCAGCACACCATTGTATTAAAAGTAAGAAACCCAACCAACATTTAATCTGCAATGGAGAACAGATAGAAAGAAAGAATAAGTGAATGGGATATTGTTTCTTACAAAAAAATATATCAATGTTGACTTTTTTGAAATGCATGTTTGTTATGACAGAAACTAAGATAAACCTCTCTGGTAATTTTTATTCAAAAGTCTATAAGCTATTAAGAGTCTATTAGCTATTAAAAGATGGTGGCATTCACAGTTGGCAAGGACCAGTTGGGAGGGCCCAAAAATATTAACTCCTTAGTTACATATTGATTTCTGTGTACAAAAAGGCCAAAATGAGACTGCTAAAGAAAAGGAAATAAGTTGTGACATGAATAAATGCAACAAATCTGTTAACAGTGTTAGAAATTAACTAATAGCATTGAGGTCCCACACAATTAAGTTTATGCAGTCGTTGTTTTCTTCATTTCTCTTAAATTTGTCTTCATCGGTTATATGTACAGCACAAGACAGATAAAGAATGCAGAACTATTTCAAGCCTACTTCTTGTTTGGACAAAGTGATGTTAAGGAAGCAGTGATGCAACTAGAAGTACCTGTTTAACTTGTTTTGTGAGAGACAACAGTCAAGTGTACTTATCAAATTGTTGATTCAAGAATAACACATGCATTAAACACTGAAGACAATAAAAGATACTGGTGACATTATAATACTAGAGCATAAATCACATGTGAGAGCTTTGGTTTTTCAATGTATTGATCCACAGTTTTGAGGACACTGAACATCTGTGTCTACCTCCTATCATTTAGTTGTGTCCTCATCTGAGTGCACAGACAGGTCTGATCCTGAGATATTACTGGAAAAGAAAAGAACATGCATACCGTCACTTTTTCTTGCAGATTTATGAAAGCTGTCATTAAATGTATTTTCATCTCTGACAGGCTTCCTTACGACTGAAGGGGAATTGAAAATCTGCATTACTCCACCAAATCTGCATTAATTCCACCCAGTTAGACGGTATAATATATGTCTCTGCTCGCAAGTATTTGCATGCTGCATGTTTGAACAGGCTTGTGGTGGAAAAACACAGCATGTACTACCTTAACCAATCAACACACATAGTCTGAGGGAAAAAAACATGCTCACTGATCCGTGAGTTGCAAGTTTCCTTCTTCAATATGGGCTCTCCAAAGCACATTTATACTACAGAGACAGGATTTATGTGGATATGTTGCTATTCATTACCTGCATTAGAACTGTAGATATGAAGGCCCTGCATACAGAAACTAAATTCAGATATTAAAACTCACTTTTCTGACATATACCACACTTCATGTTGTTTCTGTAATGTGAAACACCTACAGCTGATGCACTCCCTTTTCTTCAGCAGGAGAAAACCTGTTGTAAATCTAGCTGGAAGGAGCTTTCACTGGGTGAGTAAGGTTCATTCAACCGTTTGAAAAATGAAGTCAACCTCACGAGTAGCAAACGTAAACTGAATATAGATGCTCATAAGCTAGAATAACATTTCAACTGACTTTGATTTCATACCACTTTCATATTTCTTTTGTTTCTGTAAGTGTGTAATTTCGTTCCCCTGTATACTCAGTACTGTATATGAAGAGAATGACAATAAATTATATTCTATGAATTATACTTTTTATTACAACTCATTTATTTAACTTAACGGTTTTCTTTTCTCATCATATTTTATGTTGCAATTTCACATTTCTGGCCTAAGACTGAAAATAATACACTAATGTGATGGGAGAACTGTACAGATGATTTTCACTGCTAAAATATTGGTCGATCTCAGACCATCCAATGTACTCAAACTGCCCTAACTTTCCTTTCTGACAACTGAAGCAGCAATGTTTTGAAAAACAGGAAACATGTTGCAGTAAGTGTTAAATACAACTATTTTCATTTTTGTTGGTCACTCAGTCCTTCGCACATTAGGAACAATGTTGTCCTGGTAAAATCTGTTCAAATATGCTTTAACAAAAGAAGATGGTTTAGAAAGACAGTTTGACAAAATATACACAAATGCGACTCAAGAGAAACATGTTTGACACCGATTTTTATTAAAACAAAAATATCATCTTATGTGTTATTTTTCAGAACATTTCCTGAATGGCACCATTTCCAGGCATACTTATGGTATTGTTAACATTGCAGTATCTTTGATGGACTTCCATTAATACAATTGTTGATTCATGATTTTTCTCTTTTTCTGTCCCTGTCAAAACTTTATCTTTTTCGTTAAGCCCTTTCTAAATTGCATGCGAAAAAGCACAGTAAAATATAGCAATTGAATTCATTTACTTGGGATTACAGACAGATATTTCCCCATAGCGTCAACCCAAACACCATTTCTAATCAAACATGGCAGCACGGAAAACAGCGGCAGAGGCGATGGACAGGTTTCCAAATTGGTGGAAGACCAGATTAACAGGGCAGGAGTGAAGGAGAGGAATCATGGCAGGTGTTTCAGTTACTTGTCCTCTTTTATGGCTTTCTTCTCCTCATCAATTTCTGTGTGAACACAAGACAAAGACACAAATTAAGTGATCAGTCTGAATGTGAAGATAAAAGATTAGTCCTGCAATTTTGTCAGAGCAAGAAAACAAACTGATATAACATTGTGTTTAAACATTACCATCCTGTATTATTCAATTTTAAACCACAACTCTGACTCACTCATGCACAGAACAATCATAATCCAAAGCATCAGTGTCAAATATTCTAGATGGTGGGTAAAATTTGCTTATGCAGCAGCTGGTGTGACAGATGGCTCCACTCATGAGTTTGGCTCTGTCGCTAATAAACTGCAAGCCAATGGTCAAGTGTCTCCCTCTCTCAGCTTCTCTCTAAATTATCAGGTGTACACTGATTGGAGTGCAAATAATTTAAGAGGCACTCTAGCGATTTAGCAGTGCCCTTCCACAAAGTTGGGAAAATTGGAAGAGACACATTAAGAACGAACTGTCAAAATCAAAGCTACAGAGAGAAATGTGTCTAGATAAAGATGTCTAGCATGGGGCAAGCTCCAGAAACCCTGGATCCTACATTTCCCATACAGCAACTCATCTTTTATTAGATAAATTCCTGCCACACCTTTAAAACTACAGCCTCCTGTTGCAAATTTTTTAGCTATAAGCCCAAACTGAGATGATAAGATCACTATGACATCACCAGGATTTAGACAACTCCCGTCAGAGCCACAGAAGACATTATACAATTGTTTTCACATTCTTTATAGTAGCCTACACCTCATGAGAAGTAATCTCAACTTCATGTGTAAAATCTTTAGAATGCCCCTTTAATGTGAAGTCTGACTCGGATGTCTGCAGCAATGTACAACATGAAGCCATGAAATTAAATGTAGAATATGTCAGGGTTTGGCACCGGAGTGAAAGTCAACTTTGATATGAATGAATAATGATATCAGATAAATTAGTCTGATTTATTTAAAAAAAAAAAATTTGGTTAAAGTGAGTATATGCAACTATGCTGAACAGTGTCAGATACAAGATAAGGCTAAATGATAAAACATAGTTTAGTAATAGTTTAAATAGAGAAGAGTTGTACTGTCAGTTAACTGACTCAGCACTGTCCGTTACACAGCAATACCGATCTAAAGTTTGCTAACATTAGCTAATACTAACTATTGGTCATGCCAGACCAAAGTAAGGCTATACAGCAACAAAAGAGTGTATTGAATTGATGAAGGGTATGCTTTATTCCTTATGAATTTAACTTCTCATTTTGAAAAAGAAAAAAGTTTCATAGCCTCACTTAAATGCCTGGAATTCAGGTACAAACTTGACAGTAAAATACTTGCATTGTGCTAAAGCAGTGTTAAACAGCAGCAGCAGTGTTTAACTTCCTCGAGCCCATTGCAGAACAGCTCTCTTGATAAAAGTTAACTGAACGATTAAAGAGTCTTCAAAAGCCAACATGCACCGGCAGTGCCACCTGTGTGTGCTTTCCCCCTGACACGCAAGTCAGGGCTGCACTCAGATCTGAGAAAGAGCAGGAGTCAGTCAGCAGGGAGCCTCTCAGCCTCCGGAGGGATGAGATGAGCGTCTTGCCACACTTTAGCTTAAATGCTCTACTTCCTGCTGCCTCATGTCACACCAGATATAAAGTAGAGCTTTTCTCAGTACATCTTCTGGGCCTCAATATTCATTGCTTTGTCAAGTGACAAAATTTTGAATTTTTTCCCAAAGGCTTGATGGCATGGAGCTCCATTTGCTCCACTAAGAGCAGACAGAGATCTTATAATAAATAGATGGGGGTGGGGTTGGCATTAAGCTGAACAAGGACAAGCTCTCAGGTAGCAGGGTGTGTCCCTCCAGTTAATCAGTAATGCAGTGTTTGCAGTTGTAATTCATAATGACAGACAAGGAGGGCATGACTATGTAGATCAAGGGGCTAAGGGGTGAAACCTGGATAAGGGGGTGGATGACAGATTTTTGTTAAGAGCACACTTCTCTTAAACACCTACCCTGCTGAGTTGGAACATAGGTTTTTTCACGTGTGTCAGTCTTCTTTAGCTTCTGCTTGTTAAACTGCTCGACCTCTTGGTTGACTGGATTTCCATCACCCATTTTTCTGGAATAGTTCTAATGAAGAAAACAGAAGAAAGCAAATCATGACGATTCAAATCAAAACATGGAAGACAGTCTGAGAAAAAGTTAAAGGAATGCATGGGAAAGAATGAACCCATTATTATTCAGTCACTCAAGATGTCTACAGTACATGCCCATACAGGTGCACAAATTAAGCCCCGCCTCAGTTAAAAGAGACAGAACTCTGGAGTTATGTAACCCAGTCACAAGAGGCAACATGCACCTTCTTTTTGAACAAACAACTCTAATGTGGTGTCATGTTATACTCTACTGTTATTTACAGCTATTCAATTCCACAAGAGACACCGTACTAAAGAGACACATGATATACTTGTACATTGATTTGCAGTGATGTGTGTTGGTTAAAGAGATTAGGTAAATATTAAATACACACCTGGGACAAAAAAAAAAAGCAAAGAGCAAGGAAGTGAGAACACAAAATTAAATGTTTCCGTGTCTCAACCAAGGACAAAACAAGATAAGACTAAAGCTAAACAAGAGTTTTCTGTACAATTTACTCTGCTTATAACAGTACAGTGTTTAGAGAAATCCACTGTGCAGATTCCCTGGGGGGGGCAGTGCCTGGTAGCCTGAAACATTATGGCACCGTCCACACCTACATATTGTGCGCACCCTCATGCACAGCAGGCATGAGCGTGCATTTCATTTTCTACATCAAAAAAAGGATGACAGGTGGAAATACTCGACCATTTCGAACAGCTTTGCTTGAAAAAGCAGCGTTAAGTGGTGAGAGAGTGCTTGCGTGCAGAGGAATGCAGCGCCGCCAGGTATATACACACCCTACTACAGTAACGGAATAATCAGCAATACAGCAACTGTATCGGCGTGGCTGTATGGCCTATACCAGAAATGTTGCATAACACCTATAAGCCTTTTATAGATAGAAAAAAAATGTCTTGAAAAGAATTATGATGTTTGTTCTACATTCCTTTGCAGTGATTTTGTGTCTTTTTGAGTGCCTGATAAAAAGAGACAGTACAGAATAGATTTACCTGGTGCAGGGGTGCGCAGTGGGAATGTCCTCTACAGGTAAGATGCGTCTGTGTAATCCGTGCAAAGCCAACGGTTTAAATAGTGACAACACGCCCTTCGGCACGCCAACATGGACACTGATGCTCTGTCTCTCATTGGCTCCCAAAGCTCACGGGAAGAATTTCAATTGGACACGCTTGATGCCTGACTTCCCAGAGATATTATAGGCTGCTGGTTGAGCACTGTTGTCCATTCTTGCCCCAAATGTTGTAATCTGAATCATTTGTTCCTCCCTGTACCTGCAACTGGCACTGCGCTATTGATCAGTCATCACTGAGCTCCCACTGTAGTTGATATGGATGATTTCATGGTTTTTAACACACTACCATCTAGTGGACTGTTTATGATATTACACAATTTGACAAAAATCCATCAGAATAGTATGTGAACAGCAAATACACAACAGAAACAACTTCAGTGTATGATTAATAAGATTAGTTTATTATTGGGTGTTGCAAAAAAAAACTATTTTCTGCAGCAACTGGAATATTATTATGTGATGATTTTACAGGTATATGTTGAGATTACAGAAAGACAGTGGACATTTTTCTTTCACAGTCAAACAAAGACATATTTAAATGGGCTACATTGTGAATAATAAACATCCAGTGGCTTGTCCCATACTGGGGGACAGGTTTCATCCCACCTGCTGTGGACACACATGCTGACATGAGAACTTGCTGTAAGGCAACAGTGATGACCCCTGAGTCACTGACTACTAACTTATCAATATTAATCTCAATTCATATATACAGTAGCTATATCATATAGTAAATGAAATAATGTCTTGACTATACACCAATCATCTCCTTCATGTACTTTTTGTATTTCACTTCCATGAAGCTGAGATACTCCCAAGATACAGATGGTCAAAATAAATGCAGCAGAGGCTGAGATATCTTGACTTGTAGTCCCTTGTATGGCTCCAGACCTAAAAATTATGGATTCTACTTTTCCCATACTGCAACCAATTTTGTTAGATCCTTCACTCCTTGTAAATAACTACATCCACAATCAACAGAACCCACATCTGCAGGCTTCCTGTTGGCAATTCTTGAGCCCACAACAAAAAACTGCTGGACAGAATCGTGCGTACAGCTTAAAAAATAATTGGCTGCAAACTCACCAGCATCTTTAAACAGTATCACATCTGCATTCAGGTTTTAAAATTCAAAAGGACTTCTCACACCTGGTTAACCCCCCCTTTAATCATCTCCCTTTGAGTAGAAGACTCCATAGTATTAAGAACAGTAGCACTTACCCTGAAGTTATCCACATCCTAAACATGCACATGCACTTTAATCTACACTTTAAGGGCATGGGCAATATGGTTGCACTAACTGTTTATTGTATTGCACTTGTGACTGAGTTTTTTTGTGGTCACTTCATGTGTGTACTGTGTGTTTATATGTTTGCTGTTGATGAGCACAATGAAACAGATTCCAATCAACTGTTGGTTTTATATGGCAATAAATGGTGGAATCATTTCTTCTCAAAGTTGTTGTCTTTAAGCCTAAATTGAGATAATCATGACAGGATCATCAGACTTTAGGAAACTCCGGGCAGGAGATTTTTGTTGGACGTTGGATCCTCTATCTCAATTCTTTCCCTGTTATTTATACGTTCTACTATGTTAATAAAGGCAGAAATGCATGAAATTCTTATAAAAGTAAAAGTGGTAGAGGACCTTATAGGTGAACTATTATAGGTGTCAGGTGAAGTTCCCCCATAACGCTATGACAATATAGGGAAATTGTGATTCACCAGCATGTTCATATTTCTAGTGAACTTTGGCTCATAATAGATACTCACCCACCACCTGGCAGAGATCCTGGTAGTGGTGCTTCCACCATGCTGGTGTATTCTGACACACAAAATTGGCAGTGTACGTTGGTTTGAACCAGATGATGGATCATGTACTTTTGCCTACTGGACTCCTGTTGATTGGTCAAAGCACCTGAATAAAGATGAGCTGCGGTCTGGTTAAATTTTCAAGGGAGCACTTCACAGTAATGAATATTAAAAACAAATTTAAAAAGACTATTTTCAACTTGTAAATTTAATATCCTTTAGAGATTTCCTCCGTCTCCTCAGCCTGAACGTTTTTCCTGTCTGTCATAGATAGCGGTGGTGATTCCCCACGTGATACACGATCTCAGAATAACAAGAGAACCTCCTCGGTATAGCAGAGCCACACTCTGCTGTCGAGATTTCCACAGCATCCTCCAACAAGCCATGACCCCTTTCACCTCCCGTCCCACCTGTGCCTGCATGTTTGCCACTAGCACAGAGAGTGGGTACAGAGCTAAGCTGATTGCCATGGAGGTCAGCGTCCCTGAGACGAAGGAGGCGGCCACTGGTGAGAGCCCCTGTCCCGCCACGGCGGCACATACAGGCTCCTTCAGGCCAAAGTAGAGGGAGCTGCCCAGAGAATTGCGGACTGTGATGGGCAGAAAGGCCCTGTAGTACCCTAAGGTCGGCCCCTGTGCCCTCAGCCTTACAAGAACACTCTTCAGGGTGGGTAGGTGACGGTCGTTCTGCCCATTCTGCAACACATTTTGGACACGCTCAAAGGGGGTAAACACCACAGCTTCCACCACACCTGCACCAAACCCAGCCAGAGCAGGCAGAGCAGATGTGGGGATGACATTTTGGGATGACAGGGAGAGTTGGCGGAGGAGGGTGTCTTGCAGGCCAAAGAGCATCGTGCCATTCAGAGTCCTCATCAGTAATGGTGGGGCCACGCCCCTGTAGAGCTTTACAGGTCCCTCTTTGAAGAGCTGACCCACTGCCTGGTGAACTGGGGTGTTGTGGATTTGTTGACGGAAAACAGTCTTGTACACAGGAAAAACGACAAGGGTGGGGATGGTGGACAGCAAGCTGGAGGTCCCTCCATGCAAGTAGCTCTTGAAATGAACCACTGAGTGCCTAAGATGGGCTTCATCTTGTTTATGGTTGGGACTTCCTGTCATACTTGAACTGGATGGAAATCAAATCATAAATCATTTCAGGCTTGCACTAATCCAGGACAGTTATAATGTAACTGAAAAAAAAGAATAAGGGCGGATAATCAAATCAGAAGAAATTACAATTAAATAACTGATGGTATGTTATCATTTAAGACAGTGACATGCACTTACCTTGTGTGCTGTGGTCAGGCGTCAAAAACAGAAAGCGTATTGTCTACTTTAATTTTCCTCTAATCATTACTGGAATTTGAATGCAGCACGTGGGGCCATTTGTCCTCCAACACTGCACGTAGAGAGAAATAATTTCTGTGTGTTCGTCTAATTGCAGAGGCAACACGTTTTCTACCACAGTACGGAAATATAACTCAAGTCTTATCAGGAAGATGCTCTCCGCAAATAAATAACAGTCTCTGCTGAGCCGGTTCAGTGTCTGTGTTTGGTCGGCCTCTTCTACAATTGCTATTGGTTAAGACTGAATACGTCATGTGGTCAGGGATTGGTTGTTTCGCCAATCAATCAAGTCTTTTCTTTCCAGGGGAAAAGGCATGTCCAATGTGAAAACATGTCTGATGCTGTTTTACATGTACCACTACAAATAATTAATAATCATAAGTGGTTGAACTTAACGTACATTGTCATCAAAAATATTAAGTCATAAGTCGAAAGACGAAGTAAAATTAAAATAATTGTATTTAACAGGTCAACTCTTCAGTAATATTGTCTTAAATATTTGCCAAAATTAGGGTCTAAATGCCAAAGCCTTCTCCATACTGCCAAAATTTGAATTCTGGTGGTGAAAGTCTGATTTTCTTCACCGTACAAAATACTGAGTCTGGAATAAGCCTATAAAATACAGACCACTGTGTATTTAAACTGTGGGATATAAGCTCCCTCCAGGTCTAGACACCCTCAAATCTCCAGAAATAAAAGTCTTGAGGACTCATCTCTTCCAAGAGCACCTCCTCTCATAACACATTAATACCTTAGCATGCCTAACTGGCACTTACAATGCACCCTCAGCGCACTTCACCTGCTCTCCTTACACTATTAAATAGATGTAGTACTTAGTACTTACCTGCACTGAAGCTTCAGTGATGTCACTTACTTCTAACTTGCTCTGGATGTCAAATTGTAGACGACACACAATTCTGATTCTTTAACTTTTGAATAATCAGCTTTTATGAACACAAGTTAAGTAATAAACTGATGGTCAATTAATAACAAATAACAAACCAGATGCCATTTTAAGATTTTACGCATATTCGATTTTATTAAGAATGCACCCTCAGATGACTGGTGCATTCATCCTACTGAAAAAGTAAACACAAAGGTTTGGAATATGCACATTAGTGACAAATCCTCCCCTCCAGACATACAAAAAAAAAAAAAAAAAAAAAAAAAAAAAAAAAAAAAAAAAAAAAAAAAAAAGAGCAGGTGAACATTTCTGAAGGAAGCTCCAGCCTGCAGAGACCCCAAGCTAAAAACCCGACAGCTTCTCTATAGAAAGATCTTCAACGCAGAACCTCAAAGGGTAAATTCTGGACACTGGCAAACCCCACTCAATGAGGGCACCTCAAGAGTTGAAAGAAACATCTCAAAACATCTTCTACAGACTGATAAGACACGTGAAAGCTCTATGTCCAGTGAGAAAATAAATAAATCTAAATAAGAAGTGTGAGGGGGGGAGGATAAAATAAGAGGAAAAAGAAATTTCATTTCAGACTGTTGAGGCACTCTTGGTTGAGTGGAGCTTCAGTGGCACCGTAAACTAGTTCAATACACATTCACTTCATTATAATCTTTCAAACACCAGAGGATAACAAGAGCAACATGAAAAACTACACTTGTTTATAGTAACAAAAAAAAAGCACTGTAACAGCTTTATATGCCAGATGCTTCTCCTGACCACTGGAACCTGCCAGGGATATTATACAAGCTCTTTGAAAACAGATTGAAAGCACTCCTGGAGAGGTGAAATGGTCAGGAGAAACTCTGTATCTAAATGTTATGAAAAGAGGACAAAGGGAGACAGTGGATAAACTCTTATTTATCCATGTACAATAAATATGCTGGCCTAAATTGGTAGCTTGCGATTGATTTGGTGCCCCAGACATGAAAGGACACTGCTCAAGGGGGAAGGAACTCAAGTGAGCAGGGATCAGCATTAGTAAAAGACATGACTGTTCTTTTTCTTTTGTTTCCCATGGTTAGTAAGCTGAACATATTTGCTAATGGTTGTGTTTGGGTTGGGGAATTCCCTCTTCTCATATTTGGTGTAACAGCACAAAAGTTGATGGTAAACATCATTTGTTACAAGGGGACATGGCTGAACAGGTACGACACAGACTCGCCGTTGTGAGTTCTACGGATGGCCTCTGCGAGGATCATGGAGATGTCAATAACCTGGAGGCAGAGAAGATAGCCAGTTGTGAGGATAACTGGACTGGTTGATTAGTTTACGGACAGATCATTAATGAATGTAAGTAAAAAGTAAATGTAAGAAAAAAACAGCTTCCCTTATTTCATGTCGCAATAAATACATAATCAAAATAACCATATGCAACCTCACATAAATCTAAAGTAAATGCTGTATCCTGACCTGTATTTTGGGACAATGTTTCATCTTCTCCTCCTGAGGGATTGTGTTGGTGACCACCACAGCTTCAAAGCAGGCATTGTTGATGCGTGAGATAGCTGGGCCAGAAAAGATGCCATGAGTTAGGATGGCATACACCTTGGTGGCACCAGCAGAAATTAGTCTAGGGGAGAGAAACAGTAAAATGCATTAAAACTCTCATTGTGCATCACTGGATATATCCTGGAACAGGTCTCTAAAGGAAATTCAGTAATGATCTCTAGTTTTACATCAGCACCATAGTAACCACAGTAGCCCTGCCTATGGTCAAGTCTTTTGTTATGCCGTTTATTTACCACAAAAGGCAAATAAAAAGGCTTACTTGTCAGCAGCATGGCAGATTGTGCCACACGTGTCAGCCATGTCATCCACTAGAATGGCGACCCGGTCTGTCACATCTCCGACGAGAACCATTCGGTCTACCTCATTTGCTTTTTTCCTCTCTTTGTGAATAAGAGCAAAGTCCACATTCAGCCGGTCTGCTATTGAGGTGACCCTGCAAAGGAAAAGTAAAATGTCAACGTGTCCAAGTGAATAAAACTGTAACTGTACACGTCAAATTAGAGCCTTGTCAGAGATCAGTCAACAAAAATGTAATCTAAAGTCAATTTTAGAGGAGATATGGTGAAGGTAAGCTATGCTCAAGGGTAGAAGACCTATGGTAAATGGCCCTGGCATACCTCTTGGCTCCTCCAGCATCAGGTGAGACAATGGTACAGTTTTTCCATTCAGGGATGTTCTCTTTGATCCATTTCAGCACAGCTGGCTCTGCATACAAGTTATCAACTGGGATATCAAAGAAGCCCTGGAAAAAAAATAATACAGCTGAACTGACTGGTTGCAGGAGTGGAACATATACTATCTTTGTTAACATGTAGGTAAATGTAAGGCCAGGAAAGTCAGGTTTCTAATATAGGTTCTTCAAAATCAGACATGTTTAGAATGCAAACCAAAAATATTCCCCAAAGGACTGATGGCAGGATGGTGAATAAAATGCACTTCTGTTTAGATCTGCTTTTGTGTTGCTCACCTGTATCTGTGAAGCATGCAAGTCCATGGTGATAATATGGTCAGCGCCTGACACTGACAACATGTTGGCCACCAACTTGGCAGAGATAGGAGCACGGCTCTGCAATGAAAATAGATCTCTTCAGTCACATGGAATAAGTGAACTGGCAAGTGTGGCTCATTTCTAAAAATAACACTTAACTGAGAGCTTAACCTTTCAGTAAAATTATACCAGTCAAATATTACAGTCTAGACCTCAATATTTTTTAATGTGACAATATTTTGTTTATGACCATTGATATTTTCAGTCAGTATTTAATATAAACTAGGACAGCTGATATACAAAAACCACCAGTATGTATAGTAAATATGAATACTAAGCAGAGAGAGGCGTTCAGTTTACATTTTGCAAGAACAAGTTAAATACATTCAAAATGTATGTTTGGCCCAGCTCTGGGATAGCTTTTACAATACAGCAATTATCATTATAAGAGACATGCATCACAATATCAAAAGATCTCCCAGTTCTACTGAATAATAAAGGTTTTGATTTGGTTGTAAAACATACAAAACATTCCATTCATGCAATATGATTGAGATGTTGGAATGAGAGTAATAACAGGCAAATAGCTACTCAGGGAAGAATAAGATGGGAGCAGCAGCTGATTCAGCAACTCATACAGGACGAGGGAAAGGAAAACAAACGGAAAAAAAGGAAGCAAATATGCCTTGTGGAGTCTTTGTTGATTGACATGGTTGCAGGCTTCTTGTCATGATGCTGGATGGCAAATGGCATGACAGAAGTAATTAGACAGATATCCCTCACCCCCACCTTGTCCTTCTTGTCTTGCCGGGCATACGGAAAGCAGGGGATGACAGCCGTGACCCTGGAGGCTGAGGCAATCTTGCAGGCGTTGATCATGATCAGCAGCTCCATCAAATTGTCATTGATCTCCCCACAACCACTCTGCACGATGTAGACATCTTCCCCACGAACGCTCTCCCCTATCTCCACGCTGCCAGAGGACAGAGGTGACAAGACAAACAGCACTTAGTGCCATGGAGCTAAGTCACTATGGCAGGCAGGAGATAGATGACACAGAGTAAACAATGGCCTGTGTCTACGTGTGATTTGATCTGCACAGTGGTTATACTGGGGGAAACAGAAGGATGCTGAGTCAGAAAAATGACAGTCTCAATTTGATATGTGACAAGACATTATCATTTCTGTTTATTGACGCAGTTCAGGTGGATTTGTTGCTCAACAATTAGCAGATTGGTTGTTAGTTAACATGAGTTCTCAGCCACGCGTGGACTACAAGTTCCTAACAACACTGCGCGGCAATTTCATCGTGACACCACGTTTCTAATTAAAATAAATGTCGCTAGGCTACATTTGCGTACTAGGCACACCTCTGACTATAAGCTTCTTTAAAGCGGCCAGGACACATAACAACTCACCATGTTTCTTGGTTGCTAAATTTCTTCGTTACAACCTTCCCCAGCTCGAGACCAAGGCGATCTGCTATTTTCTGAGACAGGTCCGGATGTGAGCTCCCGCTAAATATTTTGATATTAGGCATTTTGTTGCGGTCCAGGGCGTCGTTCAGTCCAAGCTGGCAGCGGCAGGGAACAACTGTCGAGTCAGAGGGAGACGAAGAGTCCAAGACAGCAACTGGAAATTGATCAACAGTTGACGAGCTACTCTTACAGAGCTAAAGTGTGTTCCCTACCTATCCACCATTATGTCCCACACATCACGCGTGCAGCT